TGGTTTTCGCTGGTGTTGAAGTAAAGTGGAGAGAAATTCTTCGGGGTTTTGACGAAGGGATGCTTGGATGTGTTTGATTCTAGCAGTGCTCGAGTGCAAAGGGAATCAGCACTACGTAGCAAGGACTGTAGGGTTAGGGAGAGGTTGGGCAGCTTCCTCCGGCACAGAGAGTACAACATCATTCCTGTTTGTAATCGGTTGCATGAATCACGCTGACAGACAGTCTCTGGAGTCTGTCTACCTTAACCGAGCAGCAGAGTTGTGAACTCGGTTAACTCAACTAGGGTATCTGTAAGACAGCCCGAAGAGCAGCCGCAAGCGAATACCAACAAGACTGAATACGGAGTCCGGACGGATGTTAATGCTATGCGGCTTGTATTTATCTGTTCGCTAGCCGACGGATCTTTAGCTAGCTTCTATCAAGAGATCAATTAGTTAAGAGAAAATTTTAAGAAGGTGGACGGGAAGGGATAACAAAGATTCATGAAATGATCATCTAAATCTTTTCTTATATCTGATACATGATTTTCTGATGAAAAGGTATCATGTACGGATGATTATACGCAAAGAAAAGTTTCATAGAATAAAAGAATTGAATCTTTCGTAGAAAACAGTTATTTTGATCCGGATCTAGGGCTTACATATCACCGGTAATCAGATGGAAGAGAAGAGGAGGAGAGAAAAGACCTGGAAATCCTTATATCCATTATTGCGAACCCCTTATTGCCAGGGCGCTCACCATCAGAAACTAGCTACCGCAATCCAGAGCCGCTTCCATGTACCCAGATTTCTGCTGGATCCCCCAACCAAGTGTCGCCGAAGAGAAAGGAACAGCCGCCGCCTCAGCAGTATCCACCCTCGCTGTGTGAAGGACTAGCAAGAGGCCAGTCGTCCGATTTCTCGCCCCTAAACCAGATATCGCGCAGCTTCAAAGTGATAGCCCCCTTCAAAGTGCGCTGACCGTCCTCGTCAACGAATTTCTTGACGACCAGGCCCTCTTCTTGAAGGGCATGAACGCCCAGCGGATCCTCCTCAACCTCCCAGCCTTTGTTCACGACGAAGCTCTTGATCTGCTCCTCAATTGTGATGTAGGTGAGAGTTGGATCGGCTTGATCTACAACGTCATGTTCAAAGGGGCTCATGAAGATGTCGGTGTCAAGGGCCAGTCCCCGGCTGCGCAAAGACTTTAGGCGGTTGATGCGGTTATAGTAGCCATGCGCGAAGAGGGTGACCTCCTTGAGACCCTCGGCGAATGGGAAGCTATCCATGACGGAATCGATCTGTTGGATACCATGGCCCCAGCACATCTCGTCATCCGAGCCCTCGTTCATGGGATTGGCATCTTCGATGGGGTCGCAGCCAGACGGGTTCTTGATTGTTGTTGCAATTCCAATGCAGATCGATTTCGAGCCTTTTGCAACTGCACGAGCTGGGAGTACGTCAATGGCGGGGATGTTGTGGTGTTGAGTCATGAGACAGATCTTCTCCTTCTTCCAGTTGATGAAGATGGTGTCAAGTTCAAGGCTGTAGATCGTGAGACCCAAAAGTCGGTGCTCCCGATTGAGGTGCATTATGGCCGGGGCGGTGCAGGTGGTGTAGTAGACTGACTCGAGACCGTGCTCGCCTCTGCGCGTGCGTGCATAGTAGATGTCCACGTATTCGCGGTCTGGCTGATTGGTCATGAGGATCTGGACGCGAACATGTTTGGGAAGCTTTGGGAAGAGGTGGAATTCGGTGAGGGGCACGAAGGGGGCTGCTGGGCGAGAAACCTCAGTGATCGTGGCGGCTGGCTCTGCAGAGAGCTCAGAGACCGAAGCGTGGACGGCTGCGATGTCCTTGCGGACAGTGGCGTCGATGATGACTGGGGCTTGAGTGATGTTCGACATGTTGATGGTGAAGGTGACTGCCTAGAATAACCTTGTAGTAGTTGTTGAAGGTGATGTTATCTAAGAAGCTGCTTCCCAAATCAGTACACGATGCAACTTGATAGGCGGAAGTAAGTTCGATCTCTATAACTTACACTTCTGAAAGTTTTGGAAGACGAGCTCGACACCGGTCTCGATCTGGCTTTGCAAACTTTGACGGTGATGGTCTCGAATAACCTTGTAAGAGTTGTTGCAAGTGGTGTTATCTAAGAAGCTGGTCCCCAAATCAGTACACGATGCAACTTGATAGGTGGAAGTAAGTTCGATATCGACAACTTACCCTTCTGAAAGTTTTTAGACTGAGGAAGAACTCGACACCGATCTCGATCTAGCTTTGCAGACTTTGACGGTACTGGGGCTTGACAACGTATCTTGGAGTGACAATGGCTTGATGAGTGATGTTGTGCGGGGTGTGCTTGGGGTTGATGTTGATGAAGAAGGAGGAGAGGTTGAGACGGAGCAGAAAAGGAAATATGTAGTGGGCGGGGCGTGGAAACTGGCGCTAGTGGCACCCAAAACAACGCTAGTGCTCTGCGATATCAATAGCGCATTGGTGAGTCAGAGTTGATAGTAGAAACGGAGCTGAAATCAAGTTGGGAAAGAGCTTATGGGACATTGGGCGGTGAATGGATACCTTCGATCTTATCTAAATTCAATAACGCTTGAGAGAACTGGCATTCTAATAGGGGAGAAGCTGATCTTGACCTTGGCGATCCACGTATTCGTTCTTCCAGGAGAATAGTGAAGTAGAGGAATTTGAGTTCAGGCGAAAGGGAAGATACATATTAGTAACAAAAACCATCAAAGAAATGCCAGAATCCGAGCTCTAGCAAAGAAAGCTGTTTGCGATTAACGATATGACTTTGATAATTAGCATATGCAATAAAGATAAAGCCGAGATTTAAGGTCGATAAGTCTACAAATAACGTTGATGTTAACGGAAAAGCTTTGGTTTAAATCATATCAAGAATTGATAACCGAGCTACAACAACAGATGCGAACGAAGTGATGAACGAAAATTAGCCGAAGTAGTTGATAAACAACGCTAGTGTTAACCGAGAACAACAAAGTAACGGCAGTCATCGCACAGAAGTGGGCTGCCTCCGACTTCAGCAGCCATCCCTGTAAATTACTATGGCTGGAAACACATGGGATACGATAGCCAGGCAGAGCGGGTTCTCTAGGCATACATTCATGCCTTTTCAAAGATTCAAGGTGGAGTTGAGTTTTAATTACAGGGTCAGAAGTGGTACGTATACAGGATCCAGTTTCTACTCCTGCCTATTTGTATAATAAGTTCAGCACGAGCTGCTGATTTCTAATTGTTTCGGCAGAGTAGAAGACTTGACTAATCAGGCTCCTCAGTCACCGAAGTAAAAGAAAATCGAATGTACAGACATGGTGTAGCATCCCAGGGCGAAGAGCAGAGCCCCAATGTTAGGTGTTTCTGCAACAATAAAAGGGTTCATGGAGGCCAAAACACCATTATTTCAGGCAAAGAAACTATCCCCACCCCTTACTAAAGCCCAGTGAACTCTCTACCATTTTGCATGCGACAGGATCTCACACGGGCGCAGTCACAGACAGCTATGAAGCAGTCTACAACTCCAACGCATTGCGATTCCAACTTGATCCGGGTAGACCATCGAGTTAAGTCATACCACAGCACTCAAATCCAAGAGCGGGAGAAAAATACTCTCTAAGCTATCCCACTTTCTTCAGACTACAAATCGCCAACCCCCGAAAACCACTCTACGCCCACAAGCACCAACCCCCGCCCCGCGGCCCACCCAGCCGCATCAAACGACCTCCTCTCGACAAATGCATCACCGCCGACCTCCCCTCTCGCGAACTTGAAGCCTGCGGGCTCCCGGAAGAGGAGGAAGAGATACCGATGGGGCGACGCCCTGGAGAAGAAAACCGATTCTCAGCCCAGCCAAAGCCATACACAACATAGCACCTTTCGCGCAGGGGAGGATTCTGATGAAGTTGGGAGAGGGGAATGAATATAGTGCCTAACGTACGTAGCGTCTTTCGGCCCCGGACCAAGGTATGCCGTTGCAGCGAGCGCGGCATCCTGCGACGTGCTGCCCGTGAGCCCGGTCACGATCCAGTGGCGCCAGTACGCGAACTTGGGGTCTTCGGGCGTGGGCGCATCGGGGTCGACGAGCAGGAGGGTGTACGATGTACCGTCTGCCTTCTTTCTCACGGACATATGCAATCTCGTCAGGCTCGAATCACTCTTACACTCATTTTGATGTTGACTTTGAGAGGGGGGTTTTGGGCTTGGACGGGGGGGATGGGGTGGACCACACAACCACACAACCACACAACAATACACCTCGCTGTCGAAGGTCACGATGGGAGCCGTCGTCGTCTCGCTTGTCCGGAGGACGTTTCCGAGCGAGACTTTCTGATGCCCGTAGGTGAGGTTAAGGTGGACGCTTGGCGTGAAGTCTTTTGGTATGAGGGCTGTGGAGCCCGGGGCAAGGTTTGCTGCTGCCAGCGAGGCGAGTAGGTTTTGGAAGGATGCATCAAGCGCCATGGTAGTGCTTGGTTATGGATTGAAGTTTATACTTTTCTAAGCTTTTTTTTTTTTTTCCCTTCCCTTTGGAGAATGCTTGAAGCGTCGAGCAGAGTTGGGGGATCTTTTACACTCCACGTATTGCACTTACGGTGTATTTTATATTTCACTTGTAACTTCTCAGTGGTGGATAAACAATGCGGGCAGGGCCGAAGGAAGTCCTTGGCCTCTCGGTATGGCTCGCTCTGGAGGGACGCGAAACGTGATCTATTCAGGGATGGTGCTTTGGCATGTACTGACGTAGTGTAAACACAAACCCACAGGCCAAATTCCATGCAGCAAATCAAGCAAAGACGAGCGGATCTTGGTGTAATTAAAAGCAGCCCACTCTGATGATGGCATCGGTGCTCAGTGTGCAGCGGCAAGTCATCACCTGATCTACAAACACAAACCCAGTCTCTCTCTCTCCCTTGCTGACTGCGCTCGCTCACAGAATATCCGACGTCTGTATCGATGCCACATTGGATGAGAGCCCAGGACAAAAGCCTAAGCACTACCTACTCGACAAGATCATCTCTTCCGATGCGCACCGCGACTGTCTTCTCTCCTCATCAGTCTCAGAACTACATGGAAAGGCCGATATACTGTCTTGGTGGTGCCGCTGTTCAGGCGGGTTGTGGAGACTCTTGCTTGAATCGAAATCGAAACCGAAATCGAAATCGAAATCGACATCGGAGACTCGTGTAGGTACCGTAATTAGCACCAGTGTGCGAGATGGACTTGTGCTGTAATGTACAGTAAGACACCGCAATAGGGAGAACACAACAAAGCAAAGGGTGAAAAAGGCAATGGATCTCGTCGTCCTTCGATTCCGCCAGCATCTGGGCAATCCTCATCGTTGTCATCTCAGCAGGAACACGTTTTTATCCATGTCCTAATTAACTAATTAATTAGACGTTCTGGACTCCACAAGGCTGGAGAGTGGAGTAGCCGGCGCTGTCCCTCCCATCCCAGTAGCCGTGACGGTGAGGGTCCGACCTCAATTGACGACGGGCTTGAACTCTATTTCTTCTGTGCCTCTCTGATTCCTTGCCTGGATTTCTCTCTTCCTCTTGTTATCACCACCTGTTTGCGCGCACGCTGCTTGCTTTTCTCTCCCTAAGATTCCCTCCCCTTTCTATCCTCGAGGACTCTGCTGGCATGCGAGGTGAGGCCTAGGTGAAGTGAGACTTCACCCCACGGCTTAGCTGCCAGACTAGATAGGTAGGGACTGGGAAGACTTGTAGGCGTGAGGTACCGCGCGAAGGGGCTGGCAGCAAAGGAGAAGAAGGGCCTGGGACGAATTGGCCGGGACAACTTTATTTCTCTCCTGCCTGGATCGTTGGCTGCAGATCCAAAGCCCTGACGAAACTCGAACACCATGCCGCCCTTCAAATTTCCCGCAGTCTCTCGCCGCGGCGGGCGTGAATCAGATGGGGAGGACGTCTCGAACGAGTCGAACGAGGTGGACTCGAAGGCTACCCCAACTGACAAATGTGCATCGGCGAGAGAGAACAGCCTGATGTCTCTCGGCCTCCTCGAACTGCTCGATATCGACGATCGGCCTGTGCTCGTTCTCGACCTCGCGAGCCCGACAAAACGCGTCCCGATATATCACAATGCCAGTCTTCAAAGGATCCCCCTCCTAGAATTGAAGGTTGGGGATGGGGTGCTGTGCGCAGAAGCTTCTGCGAGAGACCCTGACTACGCCGCCTTCTTGGACTGGGCAACCGCTCCTCATCAAAAAGAGCTTCCCCACATCATATATTGCGGACTCTGGTGGACTGCGAAAACTATAAGGAACCGGTGGAGGATCGTTACGGGGGCAGAAGCAGGCGGACACGACTATACGGGTGCAAAGAGACGTCTTTCCGAAGCACATCGGGTTGCCCGCGCTCAATCAGCCTCTTCTCCTCGGCCTTCGCATTCTCCAAGTCAATCTCGCTCGAAGTTGACGTCCGACGAGTCTCTCGAAGCTCAGATTTCAGCCTTCCGAATGCGCGAAGTGGCACCTACACAATCTTTCCCTACTCACGACAATGTGGAGAAGCCGAAAGTCGCAATCCCCGAACACAGGCTGGATTTCATAAAAGCATACCCGGCTGTCATTCCATCGCCACATCTCCAATTTTTCATGGAATTCGATTGGGGTTCTACTGGCGTTGGTCCGATTAGCTCCTGGTCGACTAATCTCCGGCAAATGGTCAATATACTTATGACTGACCCCCGTCCAGCGGCGATGTACTGCGGTCGAGATAAAACGATGATGTATAATGAGGCTTATGTCCGAGTTACCGGCCAAAAGCATCCCGGAATGATGGGAAGACGGTTCACAGAAGCTTGGGCTGAGGTCGCAAGTGACTTCACAGAGGCTTTCGAGAAAGCTTACATCAATGGCCAGTCGTATGTGGTCGACGACGCCCGTTTTTATATTGAGCGACATCCGGGGTATTTGGAAGAGACATATTTTTCGTTTTGTATCATTCCATTTTTGGTTGATGGTGGCGAAATGGCCTTGTGCGTTGCACCATTCCTTAATACCGCTGGTGCTTGAAACCATCTTGCATATCACTAAATCTCTATCAGTTACAATCCGGTCTTTGACACGACGAGGCAGTTCATCGCAGACCGGCGAATGGCGTGTCTCTTGCGCTTTGGACAATACGTGAATGCATCGAGAGACCAGAAGGAGTTCTGGCAGCAAGTCACCATTGCATTTCGAGCGGATCACACGGACCTTCCGTTCGCGCTGATTTATTCCGTCGATGGTGATTTCAACGATACGATATCCGAGGCATCTGACCAGAGCCACGAAAGTCGAAAATGGGTCCTCGAAGGCAAGATTCGCATCCCCGATTCGTGCTCGAACATTCCGGACCGGTCGACGGAGCAACAGATGGAAGATTTCCTCCCTGGCTTTCCCGAATTGATTCGAGCCGAATCCCCGACATTGCTTCTCGCTGGAAATGGAACCATGCCCGAGTTTATCGCTCGAAACATCACTCTAGCGGACAATGAACCAGCGCAGTCAGCTATCTTCCTTCCCATTCGGTCGATTGGCGACAATGAATTTGGCTTCATGATAATAGGTTTGAACCCACGCAAACGATTTGATAGTGATTACAAAGTTTTTTTGGAGTTACTAAATCGACAGTTAGCCACTTCTCTTGCGGTCAGTCACCATGCAAAATTGATCCAGTGTGCGTTGACTGACATATATCAAGTCTGCCGTGCTGTTCGAAGAAGAGATAAGGAGAGCTGCCCGAGACAGGAACCTCCTCACCAAGAAGCTCGCTATCCAAACTTGCGAAGCGCTGGAAAACGAAACTCGATTTCGACGTATGGCTGATCTAGCCCCAGTAGGAATGTTTCACATAGACCCTGCGGGAGTTTTGCTCTATGCCAATGAGAACTATTATGAGTAGGTTCTTTCCACCGAGATCTTGATATTCCATGCCTGACTGTCTGCCCAGGATTACTGCACATCCTCGAAATGTCGTTACACCAATGGTACGTCTCCTCATAACTATCCAATGCGGGCGAGAAGACCTGACGAAACCTCCAGAGCTGGCTGTGTGTTCTTGCAGATGAGGACCTACCTCAGATGGCTACCGAGTGGTCCAAGTTGCTCCAGGGCGAATCGGTTAACCTTGAGCTGCGATTGCGGCGGCAGTTTAACGCCGAGGAGCTTGTCGATGGTGAACGTGTCGATGGGAACCGTTGGATCTTGGCTGCTGCATACCCAGAGCGTGCCACAGACGGTACCGTAATTGGTATCCTGGGCTGCATCACAGACATCAGTCGGCAAAAGTGGATGGAAGGCTTCCGAACTCGGAAAATGCTCGAAGCTGTGGAGCTCAAAAGACAACAGGAGAATTTTATCGACATGACATCGCAGTACGTACCCGACACTCTAGGATGCCATCTGGACGATTTCCACTGACTCATGTAACAGTGAAATGCGCAATCCACTGTCCGCAATCGTACAGTGTGCGGATTGGATCGGGACTTCGCTTTCTAAATTCGATTGTGATGAGGCTGATGTTGTCATCCCGCGAGATGTTATCGATGGCTACGCCGACGCAACCGAGACGATTGTTCTTTGCGCTCAACACCAAAAACGAATCATTGACGACGTTTTAACGCTGTCTAAGCTAGACTCGGATCTTCTCGATATCACTCCTGTCGATGTTCAACCAGTGTCGATGATTCAAGCATCCCTGAAAATGTTCGACTTTGAAGTTCAAAGTGGTGACATTGACTTCAAGTTTCAGGTGCTTCCTTGCTACACTGCGTTGGCTGTGGACTGGGTAAAGCTCGACCCCAGCCGTCTGCTTCAGGTGCTGATCAACCTGGTCACAAATGCTATCAAATTTACGGTGAACGAGGCCAAAAGGCAGATTGTGATCAGTTTAGGTGCGAGTCTCACACTACCGGATTGTAACCAAATCGAATACCTGCCTCGGACCATCAACCGCCGAGACATGACTGGAGGGAGTGCCTGGGGCGATGGGGAGCCGGTGTACCTCTATATTGAAGTCCAAGACAGCGGCCGCGGTCTTGATTCGACTGAGCGTAACCTCCTCTTCAAACGCTTTTCCCAGGCATCCCCCAAAACGCACGTTCAGTATGGAGGCTCTGGGCTCGGGCTGTTTATCTGTCGGCAGCTCGCTGAGCTACAAGGTGGTCAAATTGGAGTCGCCTCCTCGGTGGGCGTCGGAAGCAAGTTCGCATTTTATGTCCGGGCAAGACGATGCAGTCCTCCGCCTGCAAGCCCGTCAACACAGATCGTCAATCGGCCGCGGCCCACCGGCCTTGAAGCAGCCCGCAACCCTGGCTCCGAAGCCCCGAAGCAGGATAGCGCACTACCGACTCCAACTCCCAGACACGTCTTGGTGGTAGAAGACAATATTGTCAATCAGAAAGTCCTCTCCCGCCAACTCCAATCCGTCGGTTGCCTCGTCTCGGTCGCCAACCACGGAAAAGAAGCGCTCTCGTTCCTTGAGAAGTCCCGCTTCTGGAAAGGTAACGAATTCAGGGGGATCGAACTCTCCGTCGTGCTTATGGATCTTGAAATGCCTGTCATGGATGGTCTGACGTGCGTAAAGCACATCAGGCAGTTGCAGAAAGAGGGGTTGATCGTAGGCCACGTGCCCGTTATTGCCGTCACGGCGAACGCGCGGAGCGAGCAGATTAGCACGGCCAAGGAGAGTGGGATGGATAGCGTAGTGACCAAACCGTTCCGGATCCCGGATCTGTTGCCGGAGATAGACAAGCAGGTGCTGCTGGGGAACGCGAGGACTATTGAGCGGTCGGCTAGTGCTCCTGTTTGAGCGTCGGGGGAGGAGGAGGGGGTTTAGCCACAACGAAAAGCTGGAACCAATCATAAACGACAGGCCATTTCTTCTGTTTGAAGATGAGTTGCAGGATCTGTTCGCATCTGGGCGTTGGATACCCATGGAAATGGATAATTTTACTCTGGGCGGGGGAGGTGGAATCTCTGTTCGATTTTAGCGGCATTTCTGGGAGCTAGGTTGCTGGGTTTTGGAGGGGGGTTGGGGAGTGGGGGACTTGGACCTTTGTCTTTTGGGTTTTAAATTCAACTGCGGCTATCTATAATCAATGAAGATGGAGTACAGAGTACAGTCGCTGCAGCATAGATATAACCTGTCCGTACATATGGATCGAATCAATCAGCGAGTTTAGGTGTACATGAGTATATTCCTCGCTTCTGATCATAGTAACCAGTCCTAATTTTTTTATTATTATTATCTTTTGCTTTCTGATATGGTATCTCATGCTTTCGATTTTCTTTGTTTATTGTTGTTATGGATTTATATAATGCAGGTTTTTATTTTGCTTCTTTTTGTTTGAAGGGAGGGGGTTGAGTATGCTGGCTAGTGTACTAATAAGCTAGTAAGTATAAGGGATCGCGATGCTATGTGAATTATAATATTGGCTAATCCAAGTGGTATTAAATTTTCTTGTATATACTTCCTTTTCTCTTCCTTTTTCCCCCTTTCCCTTTTTCCCTTTTTTACTGGAGGGGGTTAGATGGGAGGGGCAATTCGCATATTAACATATAATCCCGATGCGACATAATCCCATCGACATTAATATTCCCCGCGCTTTTTGTGTGGCGCCGGATAGAAGGCGGAGAGAAGGGTTTGGCCACTTGGCGGTGTGTGGAACAACACCTCTCCAGATCGCTGCTTAAAATGGGCGTATGGTCGCTGTTAGGCTGCTGTTGGAGAGAGGAGCTGATGTCAACGAGAGAACTGGATATCTAGGAAATACATGGCAAGCTGCTGCCGCCCGAGGAGACTTAGCACTCTTGAGATTCTTGCTTGCTTCTGGAGCTGACATGAACACTCGCGGAGGTTGCTATAATACGCCTCTGAAGATGCAGCACATGGTAGTCATGAAGTGGTCAGATTCTTGATGGAAAATGGGGCTGAGCTCATTGCCCAAGGTGGCATCCATGGTTCTGCGCTGCAAGCGGCAATACTATGCGGGGGACGCAAAACGCGGAGCAGAGCCATTGTAGATCTGCTCTTGGAATACAACGCAGATTGCAACGTCTAGGTTGGGGACTATGGGAGCGCCCTGCAAGCCGCCATCTCAATCGGCGATACAGGACTCGTAAAACGGCTGGTCAATCACGGAGCTGACGTGAACGCAAATCCGGGGCAGTACGGGACTGCTCTGCAGGCTACGTGTTACGGCAGAGATGCGGGCCTCGCGAAGACACTATTGAACATCAGCGCAGATAGCAACGCCGCTGGTGGAGGGTATGGGAGCGCAATCCAGGCCGCGGCGGCGAGCACCGACAAGTAAGAGATCATTCTTCTGCTGCTGGAGAACGGCGCTGATATCAACCAGGCAGGTGGGCTGTATGGCAGCGCTTTACAAGCAGCGTCTGCCAGCCCCGGAGCAACAGCGGTCCATATCTTGGTGAGGCATGGCGCGAATCTCCACGTCAAAGGTGGTTTGTATGGCAACGCCTTACGCGCCGCCGTATTCTGGAACAGGAAGCCTATTGTGAAGCTCTTCTTGGAAAGGGGAGCCGACCCAAACGCCATCGTGGGCGCGAACCGGATTATGGAAGCACCATATGGCAACACTCTGTACGTAGCTTGTGGCAGAGGCAAGCTTAGCATTGTCACAGCTTTGCTGGACCGCGGAGCAGACTTGAACGCGCAGCAGCTGTGGGCAGGTAAAGCTCTCGGAGCTGCCATAACGGAACTTCATCGAGAAGTGGTAGAGCTATTGCTGGAAAAAGGCGCGGATCTGGACCTGTTGGATCGGCAATCCGGGGGCAGATTTGTAGTTGAAGATGGGAACAATATAATGGCAAAAATGCTTCCGGAAAAGAGGAGGAAAAATAAGTCGACGGGCTGAGGTAGAAGCAAGTAGGTAGTAAGTAAGAGGATCAAGACAACCAGATGACTAGAAAGTTAGGTGAGATAGCCGAACAACACTGTACAAAAAGAACCAGCACGTGATGTTGGGGTGGTCGGCTGGAAGACATCAGCGGGAACAAACAGCATGGCCGGAATGGTGGCACAGTAAGAGCAGCATGCGCAAGCCCACCATGATGCTGGTGTCGGGGGAATTAAATATAAAGAGAAGAGGAGGGGGGGGGAGGGGGGGGGGGGGGTGAGGGGTCATCTGACCAAGTATGTCCGCAACTGCTTCTCTCGTCTCTCTCTCATCTACGAATATCAAGCGTCACACCGCGAACACTATCCCAACACCATATCGACTCTGCACGCTCTATCTTGGAATCGAGTCTTGCCACTCGGTACCTACGCACTGCGCCCCATCGGCACACCTATCTACTGGACGAGCAGCAATTGAGTTAAGGCGCGGGCTGTACGGCATTGCGTTGCCTCTTGGACTGAAGGACGTGAGAAGCATCAGCCAAAGAGAACGGTAGTGGAGGCAACAAGCGGTGCATATCTTTAGAGGTAGAGAAAGTTAAGCACTTATCCATCTGCGCAGCGCCACAAACTAACATAATAATAGCAACGACGAACCGCAGATCAAGAGAAGAAAAGCATATCAAAATACTTCGAACAGCAAAACATTGCCTCGCCCATTGCATCGCAACCCTCCGCCATCACACGGTTCGCAACCTGAACGTCACTGCGTGCTCAGTCCTGGTTTCTCCTGCTCTGCTCTGCTGTGCTCCAAGCAGGTCAACGACGACAAGTCCGGCTCAACTCAGCCCTGACCTTCACACCATCCATCATCATACATTCGAAGGCGAGGGACAGACGACTCGAAGTCAAGTCTTTGGTGGGGGCTCTATAAATACCTACCTACTCTGTAATCCCCTGCGTCTGCAGCCGAAAAGTTAACTGAGCCACACGTTACACACTTGTGACACTAAACTTACCGCCACTGCTGGCTAGTCATCACTGGGCGGTCCTGGCTAAGTTACGCCGTCCGACGATCTGTTGACTGTGAGTGGCCCAGGCGGGCAGCTTCAGGGGTTCTCCCCCAGACACGCAGCGTAACCGCGCCATCTTATGATCTCGCCCTCCCCGAACAGCCAAGTCCTCTGTCCGTTAGTCCGAACGGACTATTGCAGTACTTCCTCTGCCTCTCCCGCCATCAATCTCGCGGTATTAACCGCTGCCTTCGACAACTCACCGACAACAAATTATCTCTGCTCCACGATCCCCAATTAACGACTTTGATTCGGCCTTAGACAGATATACCGGTTGATAAGATCGTTAGGCGACAAGTTTTGAACAGATCTTAGGGGTTGACCTTGCAAAGATGTCGGTGAGTCGCTGTTTCAACTTCTTCTCATTCGCGTGTTTTGTCTCAAACTCGAGTCGGGTCTGCTTCAACCTTCCTGATCTCTGCCGACTCTTCGTGATCCTTTGCTCTCTGAAAGACAAGCAGCAATCCGAATTTTCGCAGTCAAAGTTCCTCTGGTAGAAACTTTTCCATACTAACAATCATGGCACAGTACGGCGGGTCAGTTCTCCCTGCACCGTCGAATTCTCGGGAGGCGCTCTCACGACGAGTCCGCCGAGTCCTGAAATGACATGACACGTACCCCTAGAGACTGGACAATTGTGCTGATGATAGTGATTATATAGATACGGACGTCAGGGTGCGAATCCTTTTGATCAACGAGGCGGCGAGACGCAACAGTACCAACAGCCTTCTTACGGGCAGCCATCACCACAGTATGGTCGCCAACCATACGGTCAACCAGCTATGGGGCGGGACGACTACGGTGGTCAGTACAGCACGTCACAGATGGGCAAGAAAATACTAACTAGCCCATCGCAGGTCAAAATGTCGAAATGGAACCCCTAGCACAGAATGGTCAGCAATTCGCACAAGCCGGAGACCCCAACGCAATTCTCAATGCCTGCCGCGATGTCGATAGAGGTATCCTGGAGATCAAAGAGGCTATGAAAAGATTGGCCATACCACAACAGCACGTCCTGGACAACCCGGGAAATAACTCTAGCAATGAGCTGGATTACGCGACTTCCGAGATCATGGCCATGTTCCGCAATCTGACTGGAAAAGTCAAGGATATCAAACTGAAGCCCGAGTCTGGGACACCAAGAAATGCCCCCCAGGTTGGGAAGGTTGATCGCGAACTCAAGAAGACCAGAGAAGCATACCTAGTGTTGGACGCCGAGTTCAACAGAAGAGTCAAGGAACAAGCAGCACGCCAATACCGGATTGTTCGCCCAGATGCTACCGATGAGGAGGTCCGCGCTGTTGTCGAGGATAGCAACCAAACAATGTTCACCCAAGCCCTCATGCAAAGCGATCGACGTGGCCAATCTCAAACCACTTTGAATGAAGTAAAATCGCGTAACGCAGCCATCAAGAAGATCGAGAGCCAGATGATCGAGCTCGCTGAAATGTTCCAGGATATGGACAACCTTGTCGTGCAGCAAGAGGCAGCCGTCGTCAACATAGAGATGAAGGGCGAGGAGGTCGTCGAGAATCTGGACAAAGGAAACGAGCAAATCGGAACCGCGATCCAAAGCGCCCGAAACACGAGAAAGTGGAAGTGGTGGTGCCTTGGTATCTGTGGTATGTTGCCTTATCTAGTCCTGTCATTTCCGCGTAAATACACTATCTTCTAACACATCTCCAGTCCTGATTGTCATCATTATCGTAGTCGTCGTCCTGATCTACAAGTTTGTTATCCAGAACAACGATACCAATACTACAACCACCGTCCAGGCCGCCACCCCCAAACGCTTCGTCCTCTCCGACTACCTTCCCGCCTCTAAGCTCGCAAAAAGCCGTCGTGCCGTGCTTGAAAAAGACTCGACGTTGTCTTCTAGAGCCGCTGTTCCAGGCGTGGAATGGGTCCCGGCGTCGAGGAAGTTACGTCGCTTTGCTGCATGAATTTCTTTCCGTCGTACTACATAATAAGCGGAGAGGGGCCTGTATCTCAGTGAAAGCGTGCTGGGCACCTACCTATTCACACGGTTACGTTTTTCCTTTGCGTCGTTTCAAGCACATTTCAGCATATCCGATGGGGTGACGAGCATTCGACGGCGTTTCGGCCACTATTTTGCCTTGTTGTTATTCGTCTGTGGCTCACTGTATAAATGTCTTCCCTCTGTTTTGGGTTCTCAAAAGAATAGGGAGGGAGGGGAGGCAAGGGGAGGGAAGGGGAAACATTCAGGCCATTATAGACTGTTTGAGTATATTCAGGCCATTGTAGGCTGTTTGAGTACATGCCATCGCTCGCTTTTTTTTCTTTTTTTTTAATTATTCTAAGTGGTGGAGCGCTAGTTGGGGTTAAGTGCGGAGGAGAGAGGGGAAGGTGGGAAGGGGATGAGAAGAGATATGGGGGTGGATAGGGTTCGCTTCTGGGGTTCACTACTCTGTGGATGAGAGTAGATAGGGGAGAGGCAGATGGGGAATGTAGATGACTCGTTAGATAGGAAACGTTTAATTCACCTTTTCTGTTTATTGAATTTCTCCCTTCTAGGTGCTTATTTGCCTATTTGCCTACTGATTCTCTCGCACGCGGCTCCAATGCGTCCCTTTTCTATTGTGGAGGGAAGAGCTCCAGCACATACTCGACCGCGAATCAAGAGATATACAGATACACACAGTCATAGCAGAATGGTAGGTCAAAAGCAAGGGGAAAGGAAGACGTCCGCACCATACCCGAACGTATGCCGTATGCCGTATGCCGTAAGTATGCATATGTATATGTACTATAGATTACTGATGATTCAAGAAGCAACAGCAGCCAGCCACTCGTCTCCCTACCTATATACCGGTACATATATACATACATACATACATACCTACCCACAGGCCACACGCACCCGCGACGCACCCACAAGCCAGAGGCGCCTGGCAGTGAGTAAGTAAGTAGTACCAGTACCAGTACTGAAGTAGTAGGTAGTAGGTAGTACGGTCCCAGACACAAGGGAGGGACACCACAAAAACCAACCAACCAACCAACCAACCAAACAAACAAACAAACAAATACAGAACACGCGCGATCGCCAGCACGATACGGTAGGTATTAATTGTTGATTACCTAGCGGCGGATGGATGGATGGATGGATGGATGGATGTACATATATACCTTATCTACGTATCTATCGTCTTATTTCAACTCAACTATACCCCCCGGTCGAAACAGCTCAGTTCCAATCATGTGGCCGATCATAGGCTGGCTGGCTAGAGCTAGGGTTGATAGTACAGCTATAGCCAGTCCCAAAGCGACAGCTGGTGTTCTGAGATCTGAATCTAGAAAACGAAAGCTAAAGTTGTGAGGCAAAGCAGGCCGTCTTTTGGAAGAGGGAGGATGGAGGAAAGGAGAAACGGAGGAAAGGGGGGGAGAGAAAGGAGGAAAAGACGGAAAGTACTGTGTAGCCATTTCCAAATCTCCAAATCTCCAAATCCCCATACGTACATATCCGACATCACATCATATCATATCATATCATTACCATGCCCGTTGCTTTTCTTTTTTCTTCCCTTCCACTTAGCCCCTACTTCACGGCTCACGCTTCACCACCCTCCTCGCCACCACCACCACCACCACCACCACCACCCCCCAAACTCTCACGGCTTCCGAGTCTGACGACCCGTCTGAGAACACACATCTTGCGATCAAAGGATTCGAGCAGGCTTTGCATCTCGTCCTCTCCAATCCCAGTCCCGATTCCCACACCCACACCAGATCCCAGCCCGCTCCCTCTCCCCCCCCCTTCCCCTTCCCTTTCCACTTTCCCCTTCCCTTTCTCTTTTCCTTTCCCCTTCGCACCACCTCGACCTTCAGCCAGGGACAGACTCCCCAGCCCGCCGCCGCCGGCACCACCAGCACTGCTGCGATCGATGCCTGTCCCCTCAATCCTCAACATCATCCCGCCAGCAGGAGATACGTTATCGTTTTCCGTCTCGTCCCCACCCTCCTCGATGTCGGCGCCGTCCCACGTAGGCGCCCTGCTGATGTCCGCGCTCAGGACGGCCCAGCTGGGCGTGAGGCTTGCGATCTTGGTGACGGCGTCGCCGGCGCGGTTCACGTCGACGATGACGATCCTCTCTTCTCTGGCTGCGTCCCTGGTGTGTGAGGGTGCGTTTGTCCCTCCCTCTCCGCTTCTTCTTTTGCTTTTGCCTTTTCCTTTGCCTATTTGTTTTGCAGTTCCTTTGAGCGTTCTGGTCCTGACAGAAGAGGGTATGCGGGTCTCGCCTCTCCGGAACGTAGCGCTCGAGGAGCTGGATCCGGTATCTGCATCCGCTTCTAATCCTGGTTCTTCGTCTTCATCTTCATCCTGGCCATCATCATCATTATCGTCGTCGTACTCATCTCCTGCAGACTGATATCGAGCATGTTGCGTCTGCGCATCCACGCAGCGCAACAGCGCCGCACTCAATACCCCGCTATCCTCATCATCCTCGAAAATATAATGCACCTGTGTAGGGTGATGCGTGCTCTTCTCCTTTTCCTCGCCCGAGAAATCGATATCGTTCACCAGCGTAAAGAAGGGCGCGAAGGGCGGCCGTAGTTTTTCCTTGCTGTTGCTGACCTCTTTGGCATCCTTGCTTACTCCGGCTGGGCCGCGGGCTGGGTCCTGCGACTGCGACTGCGAGGTTGAGGCATCATGGACTTGGTGAGGGGAGGAGGAGGAAGAAATGCCCTGCGCTTTCGAGACCCGGTCCGCTGACGTGTTGAGGGGAGGTGGAGGTGGAGGCGGGGGCATAGCTTTCGAATCCGTCTCGAGGTTTCTCTCGGGTTCTGCTGCTGTGGAAGCTTTCGAGGTATCCTCGTCTTCTGCAGCGCCGTGGGTTTTGGTATCGCTCTTCGTGGGAAATGTAGCTGTGTTCGTAGCTGTATCTGTATTCCCAGCTGTATCCACCCCAGCAGTCAACCCAACGAGCGAATCCTTCCCCTCCTTCGCATCCATCGCCGGCACAGAAGCTTTTTCACTGGTAGCCATGATCCGTGTATGCGCGCATGCGTAAGCCTATGCGTTTGTGTATATGTTGTGTAACTTCCCTCCCTGCGTCCTTCTTCCCTTTCTCCCCTTTCCTACAGTTCGTAAGTACCTAGCGATAGCTCGCTCGCTAGCTTGCTCGAACCCTTTGAAAACGAGTCCCGCTCTGCTGTAGATCGCAATACTTCGTGTACCCTAAATAATGTAGTATGTATCTTCAATCCTACTCGTACCACCTATCCACCTGTCCAGCCCAGCCCTGTTTATCGCGCGGTTGCCTTTAGTTGGGTAGGTAGGTAGGTAGGTGGAACGAAAGGAATAGAAAGGATAGGAGAATAGAACAGGAGGATAGCAGAAAGAAGAGGGACAGTGAAAGTATTCGTCTATCTCTGCCTGTGCTTTGCACTGATGAGTTGCGTGGCGTTGCGTTGTACTTGATAAAGCCAACCTGATGCAACGACAAGTAGGTAGATAAATACCTAGCTCGGCTTTATGATGATATCCGTAAGTAAGTGTACGGAGAAAGCCTGGACCCCAGGGCCCAGACCTATAAATAAATAACTATCTTATCTTAGCGCCATTTCCACTGCCCTCCCTCCTCCCTCCTCCTTTCCCCTCTCTCTCCCCTCCATCTCCATTTCTATACTACAACCACTCTCTCCTCCCCTCTCACTTTCTAACCTCCTCTATCAAATCAAGTAAAAGACCTCTCTTTTCACTTCAGAATCCCTTACTTTCTCGCCCAACAAAGCCCAGAGTCCAATTTTGACATTGCTTTAAGCTATCAATTTTCGATATCTTTTTCACCCCATCTAAATATCTACATATTTAATTGTCTTTTTATCCAATTCAATTCACATCATCTTCTTTAATGCCAATCACCAATCACCAAACAAACAATAAGCAAGGTTTATATATCCAATATATCACACTTCCTCCATCTAATCCAAGACAGATTTTCGACTACCTAACCCCTTCTTCTCGAAATCCAAGACCCCCCCAAGATCCCAACCGTTTCTACCCAATCTAACCCAAATAACTACTTTTCGACTCTCTTTCGAGTTCTCGATTTCTCCTTCCATGTACATCCCCTCCTCGATATGGTCTGCTTGACGTCCCTCCCTCGATTATACACTATCTACAACTCGAAACTCCCGCCGTACCCAGCCACAACGCCAGAGAAATGTCCCGTGCTTGCTCGCATGCCAATTAGAAAAGGAAGCCAGAAACTACCGCTATGAGTTATGCTTTCTCCGAGTCCGCCTGGCCCTCTCCCTTCCTATCCACCGTCGTATGCATCGTTATCCTTTCCCACCGGTCATGTCTGTCATCCTGAGGATCTATCCATCCGCAATGCCCAAGTCCGTTAACGCCAAATCGATCGATCCGAATCCGCCGAGGCAGCTATTAATCGGCTAAGCACTCGCGCACTCACAATAAGGCAAAGCCGAAGACTCCACCACCAACACCCATCAGTCCCACCGTCAGCGCACCAACAGCCACGGCGCTCCACGCGAACGGCTCAGGGCCACGACCTCCGGCGTTCTTCTTGTGCGTCTCACTCGGCTCCGCGAACCCGCTCGCAGCATTTAGACCAGTCGCGGTCGGGTTATGCGTAATGCTTGCATCGGTGCCCGTCACGGTGCCCGTCACTCTTGGAACACCCGTCGCAGTCTGCGTGACCTGCTCAATGCCAGATGCGGTGACCGCACTGGGGATAGCGGCACCGGCGCTGGCGAAGGATACAACATTGCTGTCTGTCGAGTTGAAGTCTGTTTGGGCCAGAGCGATCTTGTTATTTTCGAGATCGTAGACGGCGTAGGCGGAGCGCAGGAAAGTGTCGCCAAATAGGACGGGGAGGTTGCCGGCGGCTTGGATCCCGAGCTGGCAAGCGGCTTGGCCGTCGGAGTAGGTCGGGGTGCGGCCGTTGGTCAGGGTCAGAGGGAGTACGAGATCGGAAACCGAAACTCTGATCGTTGGACCACCTGCACCTCCGAAACCGTAGTTCAAGGTTCCGTTGTTATTCGCTAGATCGCAAGGGACGACGATGGCACCAAGTTGCTGAGATACAGTTGCTCCGAGCTCCTCGAAGACTATAGCAGCTAAATCATCTGGGAGCAGAGTAATGGTAGTGCCAGAGTCAAGAATCGCAGCCACAGCGTAGTCGGAAGGCGTCAACTGATCGGTTCCAGAGGAACTGGTGGCTGAAAGCGAGGTGAAAGCAACGATGAACGAGGAGACGCGCTGATTACGGCTCGTGGGGTATACATCGATCGAGATCAAGTCACCGGTATATTTAGCTGTATCTACACCCCCAAAGAGGATGGAGCCAGTGCTCGATTCTGTCACGTGTAAGTAGGTTTCTCGCTACCGACTTCAAAGAGCACTTACGCAGGTCGTTCAGCCACAAGCTATAGGCAGCCGACTGGATCATGCCCTGATTGACCATCGCATGCGGCAAGTTAGGGTAGACGGTGCCGTTTCCGGTGTCCGTGTTCGCCTCGGAGATGTTATAACCAATGCCCATGATACCAGTTCCAATCGTAGTGTCCAGCGCAACTCCCATCTGGAACTGGGACAGGGTACTACCACCAATCTCAAAGGTATCCTGGAAGTAGTCTCCGGTTGCACCACTACCGTCGACATAGGAGATGTTGAACTCGTTCTGTCCGACGACTAAGAAGGTAGAGGATCTCTGAGGGTCAACTGTTTTACTCGCTGTCAGCTTGCTTCTCTCGCTCTCAAGGCGTCGATCGTGGATCCTATCCCCGAGTCCTGTAACCTAACCAACCCCCCAACTCTCCCAAGATCCGAATATGACACACGGACGAAGACTCACACTCTCCGTTAGGACATGCCTCCTCCCGCACATCTCTACACAAGCTCGCCTCCGTGGCCGGGACCCACACATCACTGCTGCCGGTATCGATCTGCAGCTGGAGCTGCTGGCCCGGCGTGCCCACACTGACGTTTGCAAAGTACAGTCCTTGCAAGCGGGCGTTGGTCAGATCGGCAGTCACGGTATCGGCGCGCGCGAAGAGTCCCCGCGCGTCGAGCGAGCGACCTTGCAGCGACGCCTGGCGGGCAGCGAGCTGGGCGGTGTGCGCCACGGGGGAGCGGGTGATGTCGAAGAGGATCGTGTTGGCGGAGGAGAGGGTGGGCAGGGAGAGGAGTAAGGTGGGGAGGGAGAGGAGTAAGGTTGGTAGGGAGAGGAACATTGTTTCTTTTCTTCTTAAGGAACAACAGGGAGATGGGGGAGAGAGACGTTTTGTTCTGGTTGTTGGTCGTGATGTTGACGAAGAGGACGAGGAGAGAGAAGTCGAGGAGAGAAGGTGCTGGAGGATGGAGGTGAGGTGAAGGAGAGGTGAGGTGAGGTGAGGTGAGTGAGGTGAGTGTGAGCGTGAGTGCGAGTGTAGGTATAGGTACGAAATGAGGGTGGGTGTTCGTCTCGTCTCGTCGTCAATCTGGTCGTATCTTTGAAAGGAGGTCAACTTTCAGACGAAGGTGAAGGCGGAGCTGAGGGAAACCAGAATAAAGAAACTTGTTGGAGGCGAAACGAGACAGTGACGTCGGAGGAGAGGTCTGTCGGGGGCTCGGGGCTCGGGGGGTCGGCAAGTCGGTGCAAGCGCGAGGTCGGCAACGATGATATCTATTTGAGATCTATATACAACCAGCTATCTAATCTATGTGTGTGTATATTCTTCCAAGTCCTCGTATATTTGTTTATTCCCAGTCACCAAACGAACAGATTCTATCCCTCCAACCCAATCCCATACCCGATCCCATACCCAAGCCCGCACCGTCCACCGCTTATCCCAGATAACCGTGCGCCGCCAATAGCTTGTCTTATCGATTAAGGCTTTTTTTGGCCCTTTTTTTCCCCCCTTCCCCTTGCCCTTTCCCCACGGAAACCCCCGAATCCCGGGATCCCGACCCCAGTTGCCGATCGGTAAGGTAAGTAAGGTTAAGGAACCAACCTTACTGCAATACCTACCTAAGGTACCTACCAACCTACGTATCAAAGCGCCGACCCAGATCTTGCTCAATTCTTACTTATGGAGTACGGAAGTACTTACCTAGCCTTATCACCCACCCGATCCGATTCCCGTGACCCATCTCACATGTTACCTCCTACATCTGACATCTGACATCTGACCCATTCCTCAATATCACCCCGTATCCGTACTTCGCGAGTGGTTGGTTCACTTCAACTTCAGCCAAGCCCAGTGCGGTGCCGCGCGGTGCGGGAGTTTCACCTCTGACAAAGAGCAGCCTATCAAACGGACCGAACGACAGGAAAAGAAATTCGAGACCAGAGCCGTAGCACGAACAAAAAAAAGAAAGAAAAAAAAAAGAGGATCTTTTGCGTGTACATGGTGAGTTCCTTACTTCCATTCCGGATACGATGGCGTAAGCCTTCGTCAGCCCTCCTAGCGTCGAGGCGCAAGCCGTTTTTCTCGCCACAGACGCCGGACCCCCCCAACCCCGTTGACTTTTGGCATACCAGTCGCTGTGCGGGTACTGGTAATTAAATACATGATCATACAATCTCTCCTCTACCCCCGATACCAAACCATCCCCGCCATCATGGAATACAAAACTCAATCCAGCTTCCCAGGTAATCCATCTGGCTCCCCTTCCCTTCCGCAACCATCCCCTTGACCTTCCTCTCAAACTCTTCAAAGTTCAACTTGCCCCATCCGCCCCTCTCCTCTGCCTCCGTGCTGGCCTTCTCCAGCTTCCACAGCTCGAACAGCGCCTCTCTCTTCGGTTTCCTCCGCGCCTTGGGGCCTTCCCGTCTGGCTTCTGGGGCCGAGTCTTGGAGAGCCCCCCCAGCATCGAAGTCGCCGTCGCGGGTGGAGACGTCTGCGGCACCTAGAGGGGTGAGATTGGAGGTTGGGTCTGCCTCTAGGTCTTGCATAGAGCTGACGGGAACGTCGGCGTCGGGCCGGAACTGGGGCAGGGTCGGGTCGCGATAGGTGCCAGCGTCTGAGCGAGGTGAGGTCGTCTGAGGTGGCGGGGATTGAGTGGTAGACGGAGCGGTCGATAGACCCTGTCCATCACCATATTCTGCAACAATCGACACGACTTCACTCGAAGGGGCTGAGTTTCGAATCGACCGCCCTGGATCGGACCCCGACCGGTCAGGAGACCCGGGAAGACCGGCGGCGATTCGTCGTTGCCTCCGAATGGAAGCAGCTGTGAGTTCGCTCACGTGGGCCCTGAGCTGTTCGCCCACGATACGCACAGCTTGGGCCCTGACCTGTGCTTCAGACACCGCGGCTGGGGTCTCCGTAAGGGAGGAGTCGACTTGGTATCCCGAAGCTGCTAATAAGTCTTCGAGAGGTCGCTCTCGGATTTCCTCAATCTCAACTTCCGGGAACTGCGGCCACATCGGGTTTGATGTGAAAGCTTGGGTGGACCGTGGAGATTCTGCCTTGGCTTTGCTATCTTCAGCTTCTCTTGCAAGAGCCCACGTGTTGAATTCGTCCGTGCTGTACAGGAGGCGCCACCTTTCCCTCGCTGACCTGAACTTTGCTGCCTCTATAGCCAAGTCTTCCCTGTCCTTGAATAACGGATCAAGCAGTTCGTTGAAGGCTTGTTGTGTGACTTGATACAGGATCTCCTTCCCAGCATCTCTTTCGGCGCCTGGAATCTCAATACCCCCCCATCTTTCAGGGACACTTCGTGAAGATGTGGACGGATTTGAGCGAGTGTCAAAATCATCCATATCTTCAGCAAAGCGTACCTTGGAAGAAGATCTAGAACGGATTTTCGGCCGTCTTGAAGGGCCTTTGGAGCTCTCTCCCACCATGTCATCCTGAGCTAGGATATCGTCGTCCTCATTCCAGTCAGCTGGAGGTTCTGCGCCTTCCTCTTCGTCCGTATAGAAATGCCTCCTCTGCCACCTCTCACGCACCTCCACTTGAGCCTGTTTGCGAAAGAGTGCATGCTGAATAACTGCCCGTCTGCTCTCTCTCCGCAGAGAATCCACTGTAGTTCCTGGTCCGTCAATAGCCTCCAGATCTTCGGCCGTAAGCGTAATAGTTGCCGGAGGCCACGCATAATCAGATTCCGGTTTCAACCACTCGTCCTCGGAATCGTCAGTATCCATTTCTACAACATTCGCCTCTGGTGTGTCAGGTTGCTCCATGAGTTGTGACATAAATGGCGCCGGCGTACCTATGTCGACGTTAGGCTCTTCCTGGCGAATCTCTCCTAGACGATGCCTGAATTGTTCCCGCTGGAGATTTGCGAGAACATCGGGCAATTGCTCTACAGTTTGTGGCGGGTCCACCAGCGCTTCCCAATACACGGCGCTGGATGTCGTTCTTGGTCGAGCCCTTCGGTTCCTCCGCGATGGTGGCACATCCCTCTTGAATAATTCTTCTCGATTACCCGTATCGTTGCTGCTCTCGGTCATTATACCCTTGCCATCTGTTATTTCCTGATCTCCGCCCGAGCGCACCGTCTTGCCTTCTCCGGTTCGTGGATCAGGGGCTCGAGGGAAACGACCATCCAGGCCAAAAGCACTGCTGAGAGGTTGCCGGCTACTGATCAAGCGACGGGCTTCCGTACTGTGCATCTGTGCCTCTTCTGCTGTCTCAATCATGACGCCGTGTATCTTTCGGTGCAGCACATAGTAAGATCGGAATATTCGCAAGAAGTCCTTCCTATCAACGTAGCCATCACCGTCAATGTCATAGCTATCGAAGATTCTCTTCCATTTGTCTTTCTTCTTTCGATAAGCAATCCCATGGAGGAATTCAGGAAAACTGATGAGATCATCCTTATTCGTGTCGTAAAAGGCGAACATTCGGTCGAAGATCAGGCTGGGAGCCGACTGTCTGTACCCGCCTGTAGGAACCAGGCACTGCTCGAAAGTCCTCCGATCCATCGCGAGACCGATCTCGTACGGGTCCTCTCTCCAATCCGTATTTGCCATGAATGTCCATTGCTCCCAATATGCGTCTAGTTCCGGTTTTTCAAATCCCGTTTCTCGAGACAGCCTGATGGTAATCTCCCTCGGTAGCTGTCTCATCACAGATTCAGGGTCACCAGAGTAATATACCGGTTGTATGTGCTTCGGACCGAATGAAAATGCCGGAACTCTAATCTTGTAGAAGATGTGTGTCTTGTTGTGTAGTCCTTGGGCTTCGCAGCCTTCGCAGAGGTCGTAGTCGGCGCAATTCGCACAGCGGTAGCGAATGCCTCTAATGGGCAGCATATTACAGCTGTTGCAGCCGCATCCCCGATGAACATATGCATTCCGTCTCGTAGCGTCCTCCGAAACCCGAAATAGAAGCTGGACTATGTTCTGCCCGTTGCGCTGATATGTAGGCGGAAGATTTGACCAGCTGTACTCGTCCTCGAACAACGTGTCATCCACCACCGTTTCTCCGTCCGCCAGGGCCCTCGCTACCGGCTGGCCTTCGGCGTTGTTCTGAGCTGCGTCATCTAACAAGCTGCTACGGCCGTCCAGCCCAGGAGTGTTCTCATTCGTGGTGGCTCGCCTCCGTCGTCGGTGGACTGCATTACTTCGGTGAAGCGTAGAGCTTTGAGAAGAATCATGGACTGAACTTCTATAGTAGAAGAGTGCCACCGTAGTAGCCGCGACGGCCACTATTCCAAACACTGCAATTCGGGATCGCGTGAGAGTGCTCGAGGCCGCGGAGGATGAGGCTGACATCCTGAGGAGTACGCCTCGGGAGCGCGGCGAGTCTACCTAGGAAGCCATACATCCAGAGGGAGACGTCATCACTGGGGCTTTCATGTAGCTGTCCCGATCAAGTGCAATTTAGGATTCTCCGAGGTGGTTGGCGGTGGTGAATGGTAGTGCTTGTTGTGTCTTTGGAAGCTTAGCTGTTGTGCCTCGAAGGTGCTGAAATTCGAGGCCACGGATCAAGCCGCGCCAAGATGAAATGGTCTTCAGCCTTGCAACCTTCTCTATGATGTCAAGCAAGTCACCACTTCAGAATAACATCATATTTATCATGTTCATCATCTCCATCTTCTCAAGTTCCATTTTCACGCCATTTTAGAATCGTCTCCTCCGAATCCATGTCCCTTTCAATAACTGATTAATATCCTGCTCTGGTCCAGTATCATTCGATGGCCTACCTATTTATCCCCCAATGGACAGCCAGTGTAGTATCCCGCTTTACGGATCCATCGGTAACATTTTCACGTAATCCTGGGTATTCGTCGTGGTACACGCTTCAGACAAGTTTGATACCTCATCGGGAGTGCTTCCACATTTGCGATCAGGGACAGGTCAAGAAACCGCTCTTGTCTCGGAAGCGTCTGGGTATAGCAGTGACTTGGATGAGGTGTTTGGACGTAGGGACACCAGTTATCGGTATACCCATCGGATTTCAGATTTTGCAAGAAACTAGATCTTGCGCAGGTGTTCTGAGCGCCTAGTTGGGTGCGGCGATGATAGCTGACTCTCTAGGTCGAGAAAAGGGTCCCTGCGCGCTGTTTGTCTCCAAGAAGACCAAGACCAAGACCAGAGTGTAGAGCTCAAGCGGAGATTGTCGAATACAAGAGAGGCAAATGGGTGCACCTTGAGCTCCAGAGCATCTGATTTTGATGCAAGGGCTGATTTGAGAGTTGGTCGTCCGAGTCTGCAAACGCCATGTCTTCGAGTGAACATTCTCCCTGGACTTTGTTGGTGATGTCGGTTGACAATGCCACAAGTGGCTTGTAACCCTCTACATCTCTAAAGGCAGATTCTATTCACGGGAAAGGTTTTTAAATATCGGTCGAAGATGAATGCAGACGACAGTGGATGTTGCACAACGGTATAGGAATGAAAAACCAACTTTACCCTGACGCGATAGCTCCTTCTGCTGGTATCGGTAGTCAACACCATGGCAGCTCTCTCGGTTCGAATCATTAAGCTAAGCGAGGCAGCGACGAACTTCATTCCATTTTCCCGACTTTCATTTCGTCTAGGATGACTATGTCGTGCTGCAGCCAACTTCCTCTGATAGATTTGACGTATGATGCGGTTTTTGCAACGATCAAACTGACTTGGTGTCAAAATGCAGGTCTGAAGTCTTAGAATCCCCGAACATTTTGCCGAGTTACGATGGCGTCCGCCGCCTCAAGCTTCACTTGATCAGAAGTTCGCAGTGTTCATCAACTGATCATGTATAGGCCTTAAATTTGTTGAATCTCCGTATTGCATTTTTTGTTCCATTTGTCGCCGTCCATTTCAAACTTCAAGTGGCTGGGTTGGCCATTCAGCCCTCCTAGTTTCGCATTATCCCTATTGAGATCTCGGACGATGCGGGTTTCCAGCGCAAGACTCAATCTCCATCCGATCTCAGCTGAGATGCGTCTTGGCCGAGGCCTTCCCGCTGTCATCCAGACCTCATCAGCCGCTTGGCTAGAATTTCGGTTGCTTGACAGTTGTCACAATGATCCTATGCATGGAGGAGATGCCGGATGAAAGGCTGGAATGATTTTCACCCGTACGCCACCTCGTATCAGGCATGAGTTGAGCAATGATCAAAGGTTTTGCGCCCTAGCACAACTCGCGTTTACCCAGAGGGCAAAGGAAAACATTGGTCGGTCTGATCGACGGACGACAGCCAGCATATAATGGCAAGGGAGGGAGGGTATCGATATTCGCACTGCTATCAGACATCTTGCCTGAGCGCTTTCCACCTACTGTATATAACTTCCTATATTTCCTAGAACATTCTTTTCTTCCCGCCATCTACTTTACCTTCACTTCTACCTTTACACAATTATTCTAGTTCTGCGAACTATACATTCTAAAGAGTGCTTCAACCCAGTTTACACCTTGATCACTAGGCCGGACTACTTCTTCAACTCTCTGATACCACATTACTGTGTCCAGGTGACCTTTGCTTGATCATTACAATGTATTTACAAGCACTTATTCTCTCGGTCCTCGTGGCCATGGGTGAAGCTCGGTAAGAAATGTCTCACACGCCTCGATCGCCACCCGTTAACAACATAAGATTCGCTCAAGAACAAGTCCCCATACCAGCTATTTCCGCTCTTGGGGCATTTGGAAATTCAGGAGACGCAGCTACCCTCGCCGGCCAATCCATCTCATTTCTCCTCGCTGCCGCCAATCCCTGTGGCAAGGTAAATCTTTTCAAGCCTAATAATCAACATATTTGCTAATATCTGTAGCTTTCCCAGGCGGACAAAATCGTCGCAACTCTCGGCACCGACCCACAAGTCATTGCTGCTGCTCGTGGTCTCGTCGCCGCTGAGCAGAATTTCAATCCCTTCAATGTCGCCATCCCATCCATCTGCAGCGATGTCTCTCTTCCCGCCACTGCTGAGCTCCGCGGAGTCGTTCCCCTCGTCGACCCTGCTGTCACAGGATCTGATGACGAAAATTCCAAATCTGCCACCTCGCTTAATACCCCGTTTGATGCTACTGGACTGAGCGTTGCCGAAGTGATGGCCGCTCAAGGATTCAGTAACTTTACCACAAAGGCCGCTGATGGCACCGCAGGGGCTGCTCCAGCTGCTGGAATCGGAGGGGTGGCTGCTTCATCTGCATTACCCCCAGTCTCGTCGAATGTGGCCTCGATTGTCAGTGCTGCTGTTGGTGCCTGCGCGCCACCAACAACTCTTGTTCCTGCAACAAGAGCTACCGGTAAGTCGTCATCCCCCTCTTACGCTTTCTACATATATTGCGGTCAAACTATCCGAATTTTTTCATCTCCCCTGAAACATAATTTTCTATCCAAAAAAAATGCAAATACTGACTTGGACTAGCATCAACAGCTTCCTCCGCCTCTCAGGATGCTGTTGCTAGCTCTGGGAATGCCACAGCTGCAGAACCAGCCCCTGGTGGAGCAGGAGCAGTAAGAGATGCCGTCAAAGGAAGCTTTGGTGGCTTCGTCGCCTCCTCTATCGCCGGAAACGACTTCGGAACCTGCACGCCCACTATCAAGTTCGAGGCCGGACTGAACGGCCGTAAAGAGACCGAGTTCACATTTCAAGCCATCGATCCCGTCGTCAACAAGGGTCAGCAAGAAGCCCTGAACCCAAACATCATCACCAACCGGATCTGCGATCAACTGGGTAACGTCTGCGGAGCTAGCGATGCTGGCAAAGCCGCGTGCTTGTCGGCGAAGGCTACGATCTCTGCTCTTGGGACCAGGGATCAGACTACTGCTGACAGGTGGAATGAGTTGCTTGGATTCGCTGGCACAGATACCAACCCCGATCAGGCTCCCAAGACTGGCCTTGTTGGCCACACCTAGATTTTCACGCGACTCTCCTTCGGTTACAAACTTCTACTAGTCACTTAATATCTGGTCAGATTACTAAGGTAAGACAGTACTGAATGATGGATAAATAGACGAATACATACCATATTCATCTACCTAGTTCATAGATTCCAATTACAGAAACATCGATTTTGATTTTTGTGCACTGGATCGTGGATAGGCTTTAACTGCAAAGCACCGAGCCTCTAGTATATCCCAGTGGATAAGCACAAACTCCGGATGGGGGTTGCCCTGTTCGCATCGAGACGGGATACAGGGGAGGTAAGATCCAGCACATCATATTTAGGCTTTCCTATCTTTACTCCCATGTGTCTTCCTCGTGCTTCTGGTTTCCTTTGAGGCTTTACAGGCTGTCGGAGCGATATTTGGGAGTCGTAAATCAAGTGAAAGGGCTGATCTCCGCGCTAAGCAGTAGGTCGGATACGTTGTGCCTTTGGGAGCTATCCCTGGAATTAAAAAATGGACCCGAAGAATGCCAGGTAGAAGTTATTTGCTGTAGACTTTCCAAACGGTAATCTAGTCATAGGAGACCGTACTGATGCTTCTTCGTCACTCCTGAACTATTTCCAAATTGTGTAAGTTTGTTGACTTTCGTGCCCTTAAGCGAGTTACAAACCTGATCTCTAGGGGTTAATTAGTTCGGCGACCGTCCTTGCCGATTCTCCGGGTGAATTAGAAAATTCTGAGAAGATCTGGTACTACAAATACTTGTGGAGTTGGTAACTAGGAGTTGGTAACTAGGAGTTGGTAACTAGGAGTTGGTAACTAGGAGTTGGTAACTAGGAGCGCCTTATAAAGTCGGGCTGCTGACCACTCCCAGATCGGGACGAGAGAGCGCCAAGAGCTGTACCCGCATTCTGGCCGCATTTCACACCAAGAACGCACTTTCATCGGATATCAACGCAACTGACTGTCTGGACGACCATCGAAAGGTCAAAGCCGGAATCCCCAAAGATAGATCACTCCGAGTGCCAGCAAGGTACTGACTAATACTCATATCGAATCAAATCCACGTGTCACGTGTCACGTGTGCCAGCGCTCACCTCATCGTTTGCACCATGGCCAAGCGGCTCGCGTTCTACGGTCCTCTGATCCACTCCCTCTCTTCCGACCAGATCGAGATCATGGATAATGCACTCGTTGTGGTCCAGGATGGTACAATAGTCTACTTGCAGAAGGACGTGCTAAGAATTCACGTTGAAGGCATCTTGACCCGACTCAAGCTTGGCCCCGACGTAAGGCTCAGACATCTTTCACAGGGAGAATTTCTCATCCCAGGGTTCGTCGATACCCACAATCATGCGCCTCAATGGGCGATGCGTGGGCTCGGTCGAGGTCTTCAAATTTTGGAATGGCTTGACCAGGTCACGTTTCCCAACGAAGCCAAGTTCACAGACCCAGAGTACGCACGAAAAGTCTATACCGACTGTGTCGATGGTTTCATCCAGCAGGGGATCACCACAGTTTCCTATTACGGATCTCTACACGGAGAAGCTACCAAGATCCTCGCAGATATCTGCCTGGCTAAAGGACAGCGAGCTTTCGTTGGGAAGTGCAATATGGACCGGAACGCACCAGATTACTACAAAGATCTTGACACTGAGGAATCGCTGCGTGTCACAGAGGACTGTATTGCGCATATTCGCTCGATAGATCCCAAATCAGAACTCGTGACCCCCATCTTGACCCCCCGGTTTGCCATCTGCTGCAACGACGGCCTCCTGGCAGGCTTGGGAGAGATAGCGAAACGCAATCCCGACCTGCCGGTACAGACACACTTCAACGAAGCGCAGCAAGAGATAGACTCCACACTTGGCCTCTTCCCGGAATTCACTAACGAAGCAGACCTGTACGAACACTTCGGACTGCTGTCACAACGATCCATCCTAGCTCATTGTACTCACATGACCGACTACGAGATGGTCAAGCTGCGAGAGCTGGATTGTGGCGTGGCCCACTGTCCCATTGCAAATACCACTGTCGGTGGGGGCTTCATGGCTGCCCCTATCAGAGAGTTCCTGCGCCGGGGCATCAAGGTTGGGCTAGGAACAGACAGTGGTGGTGGATTCTCGTCAAGCATCTTGGACGCCATGCGTCAGGCGTTCATTGTATCGAATGCGAAAGAGTTGATGACGCAGGGTAAAGACCCAAGCCTGTCACTGGAGGAGTGCTTCTATATGGCTACGCTGGGAGGAGCCAGAGTTTGTTGCTTGGATGAGCAGATTGGCAATTTCCAGATTGGCAAGCAGTTTGACGCTCTGGTGATCAGTACAGCCAAGCAAGTGCGCCCAACGGCTCTTACGATGATGGAGGAAGGAGATTCTTTGAAGATGACCTTTGAAAAGTTTCTGATGAGTGGCGACGACCGGAACATCAAGGAAGTATACGCAAGGGGTCGATTGATAGGTTCTCAGCAATGAATCTTTCGTCTCGCCGCACTACCGCAGCGACACGGCGTGCTGTTTTCTGAGCTTTTCATTTCTGCCCAAGGCTAAGAACAGGTCTTCATATCAGTGCCTTCCTTCTGCTTACGCTATTTTAAACACCTGCATATAGCACTTGGTGTCAAAACAACAGGCAGGAGTGACCGGGCTGGATCGAACCGGAGCATCTAAAAGATTGATGAGAACTGGCACAGATGGCTCAGATGATTATAAAACTCTCACTTCTGTCCTTTGCTCCCACCCTTCCATCACGTCTCCACTTTTAAATAGGGCACTACACAACATTAACAACCGATCATCTGGCCATTATTATAGGGTATGCTAAGCAAGTTGACGTTGAAGGTACTGAAGCCGAGGGACTTGAGATTCAAGGAGATGTAAGTAGCGGTCGGGGATTGCCGAATGTAAGCGACGAGGCCGATGGCGTAGAGCGGCCAGATACCGTAGTCGCGCGCGGCGTTCCAGAGTCCAGAGCCGACGAGACGTGATGGCTTGACGGCTGTGCATATCGTCTTTGGGCCTTTGGAAGGGTCGTAGCGCAGGACGCGGTTGACGACGATACGTATTAACCTCGTGGTCCGTGAACCAACCTTTAGGACGGAACTAGATCTTCGTCTGAACTGCGGATGCGGGCAGCATGGGGAACGAGCTCAGCCCCACGAGGAGGATGTTGAGACCCTCGAGCAAGAACAGCCACCGCCAGCCTGCGAGCCCTAAAACCCCACACATATGGAGGATTCCGAATGCGAGGAGCGAAGTGAGATGGTTGCCATGGAGAGGGTTGTCAGAAGAAGCTGAGCCGGCTGGGCAGCTCTCTGGATGGGCAGAAGTAGGACAGCCAGAGGACGACGTCAGGGATGAATTCACCCTGAGTCAACAAATCAGTAAAGTAAGTTAACCCTGCGGGAAAAAGTTGTTTCTGGAAATACTTCTAGGAGACCCAAAAGACTGCGTGTGGCATAGAAACCCCTCCCGGATAGCCAGACTGCGACATTGCAATTTGCTACGACGGACCACAGTGCAATCTGCATCGGGATCCAGCGATCGGGTCTAGGCTTCTTGGAGACCAATTGAGACGGGAGCTCGGCTGCCAGGAACGAGAGCAGAAATATGACATTTCCGAGGTTGTAATCTGTTTCCCCGTCGGCAAAGCTCTGATGTTTGCTCGTAGTCAACGCACTATTCGTGGTAAGGTTGAAATCATCAAGTAAGTTACGGTAGTTATCTGCCACCGCTTGGACTAGATTCCCTCTATCAACTTGGAGGCCAAAGCACATAACGCACTAACATTTCATGAGCTGCAGTGATTTCATGGGGCCGTATTAGGAGTTCTCACCGCCCAGAGACTTAAAACTATTTGTTGTCGATATATGCAACGTTTTTTTTTATCAAGGTTGTAGTTATTAGGATATCCGTAGGAAACAAGTAAATATGAATCATTTAAGCCAGTTTTTGCTTATATTTTCACTACATTTTAATGTTCTAGATTACTAAAAATGAATGCATCTCTATATTTTCAATCTACGTTTGTAAAGCAAAGTTTTCTCAGCATAGAGAGATTTTCTTTTCCTCATTTGTATTGATAGTTGTTGTTTAATAAGTAGTATACCGTTACTGTCCCGCCTCGGTGGTGCCGACCTGCCTGCGCCAGGTCGGGATTTTTTACAGATTAAATTCAAGGTGACCGACGATTAGATAGATGATCTTGGATATTTTTAAACCGCATTCTTTGATAAACGTGGTTTAAAAAATCTGGACGAGGACGGCTGTAGGACGGCTATCAAACGGTCTCCAGCTCGCGGACGATGAAAAAGGTGAAGTAAGTATTCTTGGTTTGTGATTGCTCGAAGAATAGCTGGCTGCACCGGGCTGAGAGGAGCCATTGCTATAGATTGGATACTTATGGGATAGCTGGCTGTAGCGCGCAGAAAGAGGCTGGAGTGGGGCTGTTGCTATGGATTAAATGCTTGAGGAACGGCTGACTGCATCGCGCTACGAAGGGCTATTGCTATAGGTAGATTGGATGCTCGAAAGACAGCTAGCTAGCTGCATCGCGCTGCGAGAAGCTATTACTATAGATCATATACCTTAGTTCTATAGCTGCGAATATTAAGCCGCAAAGTCGGGAAACCTTGCCCCGGAGCTTGCAGGAGGCCGTAAGCTTTAGCTTGCGGCCGGGCTGAGGCGTTACATCTTCTTTACATCTTTGCAAGGCGTATCTCTTATAGAAAATTGATGTAGCGTTTTGGTTCAAAGGCCTCGGAAGGCAGCTTTCGCACTACGACCGGGGCGAAGCGAGGTCGCCTGGCCCCGGAGCTTGCGGAGGGCTGCCAGGGCGTAGACCTCGTTTATCATACTGTAGGTTGCGATGCAATTCCCTGGGTTTATCATTGATCGGCGGTTGATACTTCAGCGCCTCCTTCCTTGCAATACTCAGATCCCTTCCTTCTCACGTTTCTCTCTCTCTGCTTACTGTTCGGCAATATCCCAATACACGTCTCGTATGTGCGGCCACCTCGCTTGTCCTGGCCGGTAGCTAAGTAAACGCTTGGCGATTTATCACTTCCTTTCTGATCTTCTCGTATTCTTTCCTAAGCCGCCCTTTCACAACTTGAGGCTTGAGTCGTTCGCAAGGGCTTGCAATGTAAATTGCCCCGTCTGAATCCGTGTAGGTAAAGAGATCATGGTCTCGGAAGGGGATACAGTGATCATGTTTAGGACAGCGCACTGTGGTGAATGTCAGAATCTCGATTGTTTAAAAACATTTAGTAGGTGGCGATTATATACAAAGTGGTAGGAGGCTCGTTATCTCCTGGCTTGGTAGCATGCTCTTCGTTCAAACTCTCCCCACGTGAGCCTGATTTGAGGATGTAAGTGGAGGGGCTCCCTATGAAGGATAAAGATGCCCAATTCCATCTGCCTATAGAGTTGTACCTGACATCTACATTGTTTCCGATAGAGTCTTCCGAGGCCGTGAACTATCTGCAAAGAAATCAAATGCCGGGGGATAGGATCCGCGTCCGAATTTCGTTCGATTTTGTCTATTGCTACTTTTTCCTTTTTTGCTAGCGCTGATACATTCGCGTGTAGCGACAGCTGCACTCCACAGCTCTACCAAGATGCATACGAATATTTTGCTTTAGAGAAACATTTCATTCGTTACTACCTGATCTCAATGACAGATTGGTGGATTGTGGAGTTCGCGAAGGGGTGGAAGAGATTGCAGAGTTGTGGCATTGCCGGGGAAAATGGAGGTTCCGGTGCAGACAGCGTGGAGAGGCACCATGGACATGACTAGGCTCAAAGATGCACAACCTATGGCAAATTATGCTATCAGCTCATTAAGTTGCTGCTTTCATTCATTGGCAATCATAAAGTGATTGCATATACGAAGTCTTTATATATCTTTTCGTGGTTTGTGAAGCATATGGAGTGGCGAGACAAGCCTCTTTCCCTCGCTTGGTGCTGCCCAACGGGCACTTTACATCTTGAGCAATCGAATATACTCACACCCGAGATATTGCTCGCTATACGTCCTAGGCTCCAGGCACACAGTAACAGCAGAAGTCAATGATGATTTCACTTGCTTCCATTCCAAAATAATCTTCGGCTCGCGTAAGTAGGCCTCCAGAACAAAATCCAATGCCGCAACGTGAACCAACTCCAGTCCGTCCAAACTAGCCTGCAAAGTCCAGACTCTCAGGCCCCCCGACCACCAAAATCACCGCCCAAAACAAAGAGGGGGCCAAAGCGTACCTCCACCGTCTTCTTGACGGGTTCTTCTATGAATGTGCCGTTGGCTCACAGTTGCCGATGCCCTAGCTCCCCCCAGCCCCCAACTCCCAACCCCCATCTCACCTCCACCTTCACCTCTACCCCCACGCCTTCAGAACCACGAGTTCTGCCAGCCGCGCGAGCGAGCCTGCCTCAAGTCTTTATCCCTCCATCGAACTTCGTACCGCCTGGCTCCTCCCTCCCCAGTCCGCAGCTGGCTGGATTGCAAGATGCACTCTTCCAGCCAGGGAAGAAGTCTCTCTGGCGAGACCGACGGGTACAGAGCCTGGAGGGTGAGAAATATCTCGTTCTCGGTGCATTGTTGGTGGTGCTGTTGGTAGCTATCCTCGGGACTGAAAGCGGGCTCGGCGGCGAGAGGTTCGTGCTTTATCAGGGTCATGATGGGTGTGGTGTGGTTGCTGATGATGTGTGAGGTTATCGATAAGTGATTTAAGGTCGTGATGCGGATTTCTGGGTGATGAAGTGGTGATGTATTTTTTCACGTCCTTTTTTTTGGGGGGGGGNGGGGGGGGTGGTATTAA